TCAGTCTTCAAGCTGTACCACAAAGGTATTTCTTTTCCTGGGAACTGCACGTGGTGCTATTCCTGGCCAAGGTGTGAATATATTTTCCCTTTCCTCACAACAGCTGCAAGGGACTACAAACATTCTTGTTCTGTGAGCAGCTGCAGTAGTGGTGAATATTCCATAACATCACATTCACTGAGTTAGATTCAGTACAATACAGACAATGGTAATTATTTAGCTAGATAGCTAGCACCTAGGAAGGGAAGGTTGCACATATAGCCCAATCTTGTCGTATCTCAGAAACTAAGCAGGGTTGGTACTTAGGAAAACTGCCAAGGAAGACTCTGCAGAGGAAGGCAATGGCAAACCACCTGTGCTTCTCACTTGCATTGAAAGTCCCTTGCTGGGATCACCATAAATCAGCTGCAACTAAAACCATTAGAAAACAAAGTGAAGGAATGGCTTATCTGAGGATTTCAGAAAGGAAAGGAAGATGTAAAATTGCTAATGTCAAAGAGATGATTTTTAAAAAATAGGTTAAAAGGGCAAAATTTAAATAAGAGAAAGAAGTAGGTGGTAGAGAAGAACAATAAATAAACAGAGACTGGAAGTCCAGTGTGGGAACAGATTTCAGCAAAGGACTAACTGGATCAGAAGGACTGACAGTAGAATGAGAAGGATATTTATTGGAAAATGTAACAAATACCCTTAAAACTATAGATTTTGATGAGTTTTCTCATTATCACTTTACAGCATGGTGCGCAAAGAAACTCTGGTTACAACTGTACTTTTGAATATTGATTTTAATGTGTCCAATGTTGAAAAGACAAAGGTCTCTGAAAGGCGAATCACATCAGAAAAGCCCTGGACTAACGCAGAGTGTAAAATATTTATTAATTCATGTAGCCTTCTATCAAAGGATAGGAAGCCAAGATTATGTATATCAAAGTGGAGGAGGTCACTGTGGAGCCAGGATCAGAGAACAAGGGAAGGGAGGATTGCTAGGAAAGTAAGATTATAGTGATGAGACAACTTCAAAAGGACTCTGAATTTAATGGAAATGTCCCCTTAACATTTAAAGAACAATTTTGTAGATGGCTTTGTGGTTTTATTTACTCTG